TCACACAAACATCAAACCAGTATAGCCAAAGAATCAACACTCATCTCCAAACAGAATTTCATCTTCCTCTTTTCTCAGAAGCTATTCTGCTGTTTCATCCCTTTATGTTTGTCTATTTTTTCACATTCACTTACAGCTGCCTCCTCAAAACATTAATTCTGTGACCCTGACTTTTCCTCCCTCCCTTCCTCCCTCCTGCTCTTTGCTACTGATCACATTTGGTTATTACTGCTGCTGCTGGGAGGGGGACAGAATACACTGATGAGGATGACAGAGGGGATGGCAAAAGAATAACATAGAAAATGGAAATATTAATGCTTTAAAAATGCCCTCAAATTTTCATTGCATTTCGTTTTAGAAAATGCAGGTCACACTGGTAGATTTCTGACTTTCCACTTTCAAACATTAGCACCAATTAAAATGTCTTTCTCCCATCCTGATTTGGTTACTGAAAAGATGTGGGGGGAATACTAAATATGGATTTATGCATGAAAGGACTCGTGACCTTGTTTTTAGTACTAATCAAAAAATGTTTGTCCTAAGTGTATACTGTGTGTATGTCTGCCAACCTAGGTTATATTTGTATACCTACTGTTCACTGGCGCACATTCAGATTTATATATATACCAGCGGTCCCCTGCCACGCATTGCAGTGGCCCAGTCTGGTGATCTAATGAGAAACTGTTGGTTTCTAATATATGTAATGTCTTTATGCTTGTGGGTAAACAGTGTTTCTTGCTGTTTCTTTGCCAGTGTTGATGTGGAGGTTGTCTGGTTGGCCTACTCTGGAACATGCAACATATAATTGTCCTTCTTTAGAGGTCCCTTTCAAATCTTTGATACTGCATCTGTCATATACATATGTGAGGATCACCAAAGACCACCAGAAAACACAGTATTTTCTGTTGGTCATGGGGGTTCTGTGTGGGATGTTTGGCTCAATTCCATCGTTGGTGGGGTTCGGAATGCTCTTTGATTGTAGGTGAACTATACATCCTAGTAACTACAACTCCCAAATGTCAAGGTCTATTTCCCACAAACTCCATCTGTGTTCACATTTGGGCATATTGAGTATTCCTGTCAAGTTTGGTCCAGATCCATCATTGTTTGAGTCCACAGTGTTCTCTGGATGGAGGTGAACTACAATTCCAAAATTCAGGGTCAATGCCCACCAAACCCTTTCAGTTTTTTCTGCTGGTCATGGGAGTTCTGTGTGCCAAATTTGGTTCAATTCCATTGTTGGTGGAGTTCCGAATGTTCTTTGAGTATAGGTGAACTATAAATCCCAGCAAACTACAACTCCCAAATGACAAAATCATAATATTTTGAGTGATGGTCATTCCTTGTGTTGTGAGACATTTTGTTGCCAAATTTGGTGTTATTTCGTTCATTGGTTCTTTTGTTTTTAAGGTACTCATTATGCACAGAGCATATATATATATATAGACTGAAGACTGAATATATATATAGACTGAAGACTGAAATTCTACCTAATAAGATGAGGACAGGTTTCCATCTGTGTGATATATATATATATATATATATATATATATATATATATATATATATCTCACACACACACACACACATATATATATATATCACACAGATGGAAACCTGTCCTCATCTTATTAGGTAGAATTTCAGTCTTCTTTTTGTTTGAAATAATGACATTATTGTAACCCAACAAAATATAAACTGTCCCATACTGTCAACCCATGCTTTGCACTGTGGTTATGAGAGGAGCCTAACATTAATGCTGTGGTTAAAAATATATAACAGCTTTCCCTTATCTTAACAACTCTCAAACATACTGGAGTATCGTTTCATCCCAAGCAACAGGAGCACTGGTGATTCCCACCTCTGACAGTGTATGCGTTTGTAGTAAGTAATTACTTGCAAAGAGCCAGCTTGGTGTAGTTGCTTGAGTGTTGCGCTGCCATGGAAACCCATTGGGTAACCTTAAACAAGTTACATTATTTTAGCCTCACAGTCAAAGGTAAATCCACCCCCAAACAAATCTTGCCAAGGAAAGCCCATCATAGCTTCCTCTTAGGGAAGAGTCAGAAACAATGTGAAGGCACACGACAAGTTTTGCATCACCGTAATATTGATGCCCAGTCTCCAAGCCCCAAATACACTGGTGCATGTGCTCACTGTAGCTCTCCTAAGGATCTGTGGCAATGTTCAAAGCACTGTAAGGAATAATTAAGCAAAAGGAGAAATAACAGCGTATCATTAAGCGATGAGGGGAAAATGCCAATTACCAGCACTTATTGTACTTTAAAACTAAATTAACTAAAGCTAAAGTACCAACTGGATATAATAAAATATAAAATTTCTATATGTCTTCTTACACAATGTTGCTTGCAAGAGACTGGGAAATGTGTTTTGAGTATCAAAAATTATGGAGAATAGACTAGGCAATTTCTTGGATAACTTGAATCAAACTTTAGTCTATGTGACTGCCAAAAAAATATCCCCCGCACAGTGGAGAATTCAACTATTTTACTTTAATCAGAATCCAAACCTTTACTCAGATGTGTATCTTAATGTACACTTTACAGTAGCTTGAAATGTTGCATTTGTGTGTTAAAGGTTGTTGTGGTTATTATAAAACTTAACATTTCGAGGTCAAGAAGGCAAATGCATGCATTTTTCACGGAATTCAAAATGTGAACCTTCACAACTTTGACAGGCTGCAAAACTATGGCATCTTTGTGCTTGTGGTTGATGTGGTTTATTTGATCTTTTTTAATATGATAAATGTTTGTCCTAAGTTTACATTTTATATCTTTACTTTTTATGACATTGTCAATTTTTAATATTTAGAATGCTGCATATGTTCAATTGTAATTTCATTATAATGTAGGTGCTAATTATAATATTGTTAAGCAGAGGAAGCTCAATCTAATCTCCCCACCCCATGATCTCCAGCAACAAAAATGTGTGGGCGGGGGAGGGGAGCATATATGTTTTAAACCACATCACATGCCTAGTGCAACATAAAGCTTTCCCATAGCATCTCCCTCAGTGCAGCAACACTCTGGCGAACATCTCCCAAGAGCCAGAGAGTAGGTGGTTGGTAGCTTATGGCTGGGGACAGCTATGATGCAGAGGCGGGGGTGAGGAAGGACGCCTATAGTGACTGCCTAGCAGCGCTGTTTACTGTGGCTGGGTAATAAGACTCCAAGGCAGTTGAAAGAGTCCCTGTAAGGTCTCAATTCAGGCTGTATTCTGTGGCCCTAAGTAGTGATTTTCCTTTTTCCACACGATAACATTGACTTTGGCTTTTCTTTGCTGCCATATACTAACCCAGTCCCAAAGCAACAAAGCTAGGCAGCAAAGTGTTAGAAACAAAACTCCTGGAAAAATCCACCTAATAGAAAAAGTGATGGGTGTAATTATTATGATGCCTTTTTATATAAAAGATAAATTACACTGGAGAAATTACACTGCATAGCTGGTATTGCACCACCTGACATCTGCCGGGAAGTAGCAGCCAATAGTGAAAGGACCAAGGCAGAGACAGCTCCAGCTCATCCCCTGTTTGGGTATCAGCCAGCACGTCAACGACTTAAATCTAGAAATAGTTTTCTAAGATCTACAGAGACACTCGCTGGAACACCTCAGCAAGCGAGAGTCCAAAAGTGGCAGGCTCAAACCCAGAACCTCAACGAATGGCTGATACCAAATGAGAGACTCTCCCCTGGGCACACAGAGGACTGGGCGACTTGGAAGGCGCTGAACAGACTGCGCTCTGGCACCACAAGATGCAGAGCCAACCTTCAGAAATGGGGCTACGAAGTGGAATCCTCGACATGTGAGTGTGGAGAGGAGCAAACCACTGACCACCTGCTGCAATGCAACCTGAGCCCTGCCACGTGCACAATGGAGGACCGTCTTGTGGCAACACCAGAAGCACTCCAAGTGGCCAGATACTGGTCAAAGGACATTTAATCAACTATCAAACTCACAAATTTTGTATTTTGTCTGTTTGTTTGCTTTGTTCTGTTAGAAATGTAATATAATTTGACCAGTTGTCCTCACACAACAAATAAATATAAAAGAGTTTGTTACCACAGAGTGTAAAATGCGAGACAAATGTAAAATACCATGGTAATTCATTCGACCTAAGACAGAAGTGAATTAAGGAACGTTTTGAGGGCTCTGTGCTCATCTGTACTGAAAACATTCTCCCACTTCCATCACAAGCACAGTTGGTGGCGGACGAGAGAGGGGGGCCTTCTCGGTGGTGGCCCCGCCGGCTCTGGAATTCTCTCCCTGGGGAGATTAGGCTGTCTCCCACCCTGTCTGTGTTTTGCACAGATCTAAAAATGTGTATGTTCCGCTGTGCTTTTGATTACACGGTTCCCCAGAAAATTTGGGGTTCGGCTATGACCCAAAATCCAGTCCCTGCAATTTGCTACTGTCCCCTGCCCAGAGACATAGTGCTCCACCTCCTATTGCCCTCTATTCCCAATTTATTATTATCCAACAATTGCACTTTATCTATTATATTTTTGTCGGTTTTATTTTATGTTATCAAATGTTATTTTGGCGAAATGTTTTAATTGTTCTTTGTTTATAGGCATCGAATTGTGCCATTTGTAAACCGCCCTGAGTTGCCTTCGGGCTGAGAAAGGCGGTATATAAATATGGTTAATAATAATTTTGTATCAAGTGAGATTGCATTGACTTTTGAAGGAAAAGAAGATTAATATACTAGCTTTGACCCCCTTTATTTATGTGTTAGGTGATTAACAAAATAGGATGTCATATTTTTGCACAAATCCAGAAATAGAATCACTTGTTAACCACACAGAGCTTTTAATAAAAAGTGTTTGTTTAGTGCCTACTCACCAAAAGTGTTAAGATTAAGCTGGCTATTAGGGTGCAACGAAAATAGTCGACAAAACAGGAAGAAAGCCTTGCTCGCTGCCTCCTTTCCTTGTTTAAATTGATGTGATAATTCATTACAGATTTTCTTTCTTTGACAGAGTGCCTACCGCAGAAATGGGATGATGTTTCTTGCTTGCTAACATGGATGTGGCCACAGCAAGAGGAAAGACAGCGTTATAATAAGGTGATTTCCCCACCCCTCCTGTTCCCTCCATTGAGGGGGAAACACAGTTTTAGAAAGCCTCCAGCGTGTGGACTTGTGAGTGGGCTGGTTTGTTGTGACTATCAACGAGCTGACAGTCTGTTTTTCCAGCCCGCCCAATTGTTATTTTTGTTTTATACTCAGAATATTTAGCAAATTAATGGCAGGAAGTTTGGGACAGTGTGTGGGTGGATGAGAATGCAGTTCACATGATTTTAACATTTCTAGTTGATTTTATTGTAAAGTTCACTCACCTATCTAAACTTGAATGCTGCTTTCGCAAATGGTAATTCATCATTGTGTAATTTTTCATAAAGCAGGACAAATAGAAGCCATGGTTTCAACTTCTCTGCTTTTTAACTCAGAAATCATTTCGTGTATTTGTGTTTGTTTGAAATTACTTTTATGTATTCTTTTAAATTGAATTTATTGAATGCCACCCTGATTTGTTTGGATATAGAGCATTGAAGAGTCACATCTGAAATGTGTTGACTATCTCTTCTTTCTGGCAAGAAGACAAAACTTTGTACACACAACAGACAATAACAGACCCTACTGCCTCCTCCCTGTAGTTATTTTGTCACTCCTTTCAGATTTCAATAAATAAATCATAAGGCAAATACCACTGGCCCTCTGAGGCTGAGCCCCAAACCTTAAGATAGCAGTTATAAAAATAGAAGCTCATGCACAAGCCTTAAAAAACACAGAGTCCAGGGTGAATCCACCCTCCACCCACCCAAGGCACAGCTCCCCTTCTACCGTTTTCAGAGGATATATCTACACTGCCATATAATCCAGTCTCTGGTTGTTTGCTTTGAACTGGATTATATGAGTCTACACTGCATTGCCATATCCAGTTCAAAGTAGATAATCTGGATTCAGAAACCGGATTACATGGCAGTGTAGATGGTGCTAAAAACCTCTTCCCATGGGTGATCTCCAAAATGAATGGAAATGGCAGCGGGGATTGTGCTTCCAACTGATAACTCTTGGGAGGAGATGGGAACTTCAGTCAACACTGGAAAGAGCCCCATCAATTATTATTATTATTATTATTATTATTATTATTATTATTTACAGCTTTTATATTCTGCCCTTCTCACCTCGCAGGGGACTCAGGGCGGATTACAGTGTACGCATATATGGCAAACATTCAATGCCAATTTTTGACATACAAACATATACAGACATACACAGAGGCTATTTAACTTTTTTCTGGCCGCCAAGGGAGCTGTCGATTTCATCGTCCATCTGTGACGCTGATGAAGCACTTCCGCATTCCCCGCATGCTTCCCCGCTGGAATGCTTTGCTAGAGTCTTCTTTATGGCCTCATAAATCAGTTAATTTAGCCTCCCGACACTTTAAGGTGGTACGTAATTTTCCTACTTGACAGATGCTACTGTCTTTCGGGTTGCAAAGGTCGACAACATGCTACACACAATTGGTTGGAAACCCACTCCAACCCGGGCTGGCTTCAAACTCATGACCTTTTGGTCAGAGTGATCTTTAATGCAGCTGACACTCAGCCAGCTGCGCCACAATCCCAGTGCTGTGCAGTGACTCCTGCCAAAAAATGGGAATTGTGTGGGATCAAGCCAGGCAATACTACTTAGCTAGATTGCTAAGGTGGTTACATAGCTAAGTAGGTACTACATCCAAAGTTTTTTGTTCCCGCAACAAAACTTTAGGGTTTTTCTTCCTTTTTATGCTTAAAACATTGGGCTATGAAATTCTCACGATCATGGATCATGCTTTCCCAGGTAAAATTATGTAAGCAAAATCTTCTTTACTAAAGACTTGTATAAGGTGTATCTCTGTTCATTCACCACTTTTCTTTCAATATTTTGTTGCATCATCTGCTGAGCACTATGATTCCCTCTTACTGTCTTTGACTCTTTCAACTCATTCTCCAATGAGGAAAACAAAAACTTTTCTTTACTATGAGGCATTTATTTTATGTGCCTCTCATTACATATTTTGTTATTGTTTGATTTCTCCTTTCTTTTGTTACTTTCAAGAAAATGGGTTTAAATTATTCCCTTCGATTTTAATTGCCTTCAATTAAACATTCAAATTAACATTCTCTCTCCCTCCCCCCCCCCCCCCCCCCCCCCCCCCCAGTTGTAAATTTGTCTGTGCTTTTTACATGGGGTTTTCTTTGTTCCGAAATACAAGGGTTGAATGAAAAGTAATGCCTCCACTTTCGTTACTTGGGTTTGGATGGGAATATTTTAATAAATCAAACGCGAAATAATCCTTAGAATGTGCTCTTTAACTACCACTATTCACTTTTACACATAATAACCAGACAATTGGATACATTTCTGCCAACGATGAACAAGTTTTCTGAAGTCATCACGGAAGATGTTGACACTCTGTTTCCACAACCAGCATCTCACAGTTCTCTCCACGTCTTCATCAGAAGCATAATCCCCGCAGATCATCTTTCATTATTGGGAACAGATGGAAGTCAGACGGTGCTAAATCTGGACTGTATGGAGGATGTTGTACAGTGGGGAGATCTAGTCTCTGAAGTTTCAAGTCTGTGTGCTTTCATTTCAGGCGTCAGCATCCTGGGTACGCATCATGCACAGATCTTCTGATAGCCAAGCAAACCAATAATTCTTGACAGCAGAATTCTTGACCCACACATTCTTGTGAAATGCCGGTTATGCTTGAAATTTCTCTCTGACTGATACGACCATCATCCTGAATCAATCTGTCAACCTTTTGCTTGTGAAACTCGGTGTTTGCTGTCACAGGACATCCAACTCTTTGTCACGCAAATCAGATGTTCCCACCTCAACATCTTTAAACTTTCTCGCCCAATGACACACAGTACTCACATCAACACAATCGCCATAAACAGCTTGCATTTGCTGATGAATTTGGGGTGACACCTTCTGCTGTCAAGAATTCAATGACTGCACATTGCTTAAGTCGTATTGACCAACCATCTGCGCAGGGTTCCATACTTTGCACTTTAACAAACAACCATTCAAGGCTAAGGCTTCCCACCAAAATGGAACTGTAGAGGAGAGTCTACTAAACAAACCAGTACCTGCCGCATACCAGTACCGCCATCTGTTGAGGAGTTATGAAGGTAGAGGCATTACTTTTCATTCAACCCTCATATTATAGTATGAATGTAGCATCAACTGTGTGGTAAGATTTGAAATCACTTTAGCTGCAACTCCTTGGTAAGTGTCTCCGTAATGGAGTCAGACACAAGGGCCAAGGGGTGGGCAATGGAAATCTTGGATAGTGAATTATTCTACAAACCCACTCTCTTAGTGGGTAAGCATGAAAATCCACAGTGGGACCTTTTTTTCTGTTGGAGGTATCATTGTTGCCATTTTCAGTATTACACTGCCCACAGCAGCATAACATTTTTGCATGTCATTTTTCTGGAACATATCTGCATGTTAAAAGACTAAAAATAACATGTACAATAAAGAGGAAAAACATTTCTGATTTTCTGTCTATGCTTGCTGAAATGTATGATTAAACCTTTCTTTTTGTCATGATTTCTTATTTTTCTTGGCACCCATAATGATGTAAAATTATATGCTTGCTGTAAACATCCAGACTTTTTTTCAAAAAGGACACCAGCATTTATTGTATTTGGTTTCGATCTGCAGACATATAGGCAAAAGAAAACATTCCGGGTCAAGAATACTGGAATAAAAATTCCTTCTTTAGCTGTATTTTTCCCAGATTTTGCATTTGTTAAAAATGTTTCAGCAGAAAAAGCAACTGCATTTCTTACTGGTGTACTTACAACCCCAGAGTATAAAAAATCAACATATATTTATCTTAGAAATATGACAGATCATGTTTTTGTTGGTCGGCTGTATATTTGTCTGACTTAAACAGTCTGACAGGCAATTATTTATAAAACCTAGGTTGTTCAATAAACCTGTATAACCCTTCTCTTCTCTTCCACTCATTCTTTTGGATCGGCCTGACAGAATATATATATTACTCTTTGTAGTTTTCCAGTTTACTACACCATCGCATAAGCTTATTTTTCATTTATTTATTTAATTGCACAAATGTGCACAAGCACCTATACACATAGATATATGCATGTAAAAAGGACTCTCACAATGCAGTTTACAGAATACAGAGTCACAAAACTTCAACCTTCTATTAAAATACAGTTACTAAAACTAAAAGTGGGGATAAACAAGAGCACAAAGTGAATCATTATTGTATATAGTGATGTATAAGTTGAGAAAAACCTGGATTAACTTATTTATTTATTTATTTATTTCGCGCATTTCTACCCCGCCCTTCTCAACCCCCGAGGGGGGACTCAGGGCGGCTTACAAAAGGCACAATTTGATGTCGGCAATACAGATTATAAGATAAAATATATATCAGCAACAATTATAACACAATTAAAACAATCCAGTTATACATCATAGCTAATAAAAACCAATCTAATGATCAACGTTCGCCAAGCTCAAAATCAGTAAGTTCATTCCTCATTGTCATAATCCTATCCAATTCTAGTCGTCATTGTCCTTTGTCTGTCTGCCAGATTACCCAAAGACCTGGTCCCATATCCATGTTTTTAGTTTCCTTCTAAAAGAGAGGAGGGATGTCGATGACCTAATTTCCCCGGGAAGCGGGTTCCACAGGCGAGGGGCTACCATTGAGAAGGCCCTGCTCCTCGTCCCCACCAATCTCACTTGTGATAGAGGTGGGGCCGAGAGCAGGGCCTCCCCAGAAGATCTTAAACTCCGAGGCGGGACATAGAAGGAGATGCGTTTGGACAGGTACACTGGGCCGGAGCCATATAGGGTGGATGCTGTATATGCATGGATCTATACCATGTGCAAATTAAGGCTGGGGGGCGGGCGGATACAGCTTCTTTGGGCGCTTACCTCAGACCCTCCTCATTTTCCCTGTCCTCTCAGCATAAGGACGTGGTGGCCCACCATATCCTTATGCAGAAAGGGTGGGAGAAGAAAGCAAGCAGCAGCTGGGAGCCCTCTGGAGCACTCTCAGCCACCGCATGTCTCGCCCTCCTCCTGGCATAAGGACGGGGCAAGCAGCCCTGTCCTTATGCCAAGAGGACAGCTCCAGGAAGGCACCCAGTGGCTGTGAGCTCTCTGGAGCACTCTCGGCCGTTGTCTGTCTTGCCCTCTTCCTAGCATAATGCCAACAGGACAGCCCAAAGATCAGGAGAGGAGGATTGGGGTGGTCGCCACATGTCTCTTTTTCCTTCCATCATGAGGATGGGCAATCATC